ACTAGTGGTCCTCTATTCGACAAACACATTGATCGTCTGCAGAAGGTGGGCGATACTGAGTTCGTTAACTACGAGACTGAGACGGGCACTTGGGTTTTCAAGGTGCCCCATTTCACTACATATGGGCTTGACTATGATGAAGAGGAAGGTGAGAGTCTTGACCAGAGCACTATGAGTGCCCAGGGACCTGACCACCCTACCCCCAGGGCTCACTTCGACCACCCCGCGAGTTTCGATCAGTCCACAAATTTCGATCAGTCCACCACTTTCTCCATCGACGAGTCCTTCGTCGGTTCCATGATTGGTGTTGAAGATGATACCTTTGATTTCAAAAAGCGCAAGCTTGTTCCTGGCTCTTTCGCTAGTCAGGCCATGCCTGTGCAGGATGATTATTCTTCTGAGGGTGAAACCGAGTCTTTTTTAGAGGAAGGCTCCACGGGTTCAACTACTGAGAATGACGATGACGTCGTCACCGAGAGCCAACAATCTGGCGATTCGGTAGTTGGATCAGATGAGGCAGATGAAATGGATATGGCGGGTGCCTTTCCGACTCCTCATCGTACCGTGGAGCGGGACGACTACCAGAGCACCAACGGTGACCTGGATACCACTTACCCTATCTCAAAACACTTTGGCAGCCCTGCAAAGCCTCAGCTCGATCTTAGTGGCGACTGGGCCGAGCAGCTGCAGCGCACCATCAGCCCTCGCAAGCAGAACCGTGATGCCTTGCGTGAAATGCAGGCAAACGCTTTCATTGATCGTAACCTCGTGGACGACGAATCTCCCACAACCACTGCGACAGCCCCTCCCAAGAAAGGTTTCACGAACAGCATTGATCTTATGAACTCTTTGTTTCAGCAGCCGCGCAAGCAAGCTGCCTCTTCTCCGATGAAGGCTCCTAAGGCACCACCAAAGGGCTTTGAGGTTAGAACTCCCTTCTTATGTTCACACTGATTATCATTCCCTTTGTTTTTTCCCCTGTGTCACTGCATCATGTATCTATGAAATTGCACATCACCCGTCAGATAGTTTAACAATGCGATAACCTGAGCTAAAAAAAAATTCTTCCTTGCAGTGGCCTTACAACAAGCAACCCAAGACGTTTGCTGGCGATACAACACAAATGAGTGAATCCGATGCCGCTTTCCATGACTCTTTCAAGCCCCGTTGGGGTCCCATGGACTCCCTCATCTGCGCGAAAAACGATATGGAGGATACAATCTTGGGGGTCACCCAGACCTGGAAAGAAAGTTTCGCCATTTTCAGCGAAGAGCGTGATATTGCAGTAATGACTTACAACCAATCTGGCGAGGTATGTTTAGTGGTTTAGTTGGTGTTTATTTGAACTTGATACTGATGATGATTCAGGCCAGAGAAATGCTTGAGGTCCAGCGGCTTCAGTCCTCTATCCAGCGCATCGACGGCGCTCCTTTCGTTCGCATGGCCAAGGTCGACCTATCGCAGTTCCCTCTGTCACCTTCTACCCGTGCCCAGGCGGAGGAAGAGCGTTTGGTGTGGCAGCTTCTTAACATTCTTTTTAATGACGATATTGAGGACGACATCTCAGCGGGTGTACCGGTGCGACTACGACAGCAATTTGCGCACCGGATTAAAAAGGATCGCCTCACACGTCTTTGGGAGGGAATTATTCGTGAAAAGCACTCCCAGAATCTGGATATGATTCGCTCCCCTGTGGAGCGCGCCGTTCATTTGATTTGTTCGCACCGAGTGGAGGAAGCATGCAAGACACTGATCGATAGTCAAAATCCTCATCTGGCCACTGTGGTCGCACAGATTGGTCGCGATGCTACCTCACGGGCCGACATCGCCAACCAGATCGATGTATGGCGTCAAAGCAACCTACTCTCGGAGATGAGTGAACCCGTGCGAGCCCTTTACGAACTGGTCGCAGGAAATGCTCTCCGCAGCGAGGGCAAATCGGGTGGTGCGCTTGAAGACCGGGCCTCCAGCTTTGGCTTCACCGAGCGGTTTAATCTAGATTGGTTCCAGGCCTTTGGTCTTCGTCTGTGGTATTGCACTGCCGAAGATGAGCCAATTGAGGTGGCTGTCTCCAAGTTCCTTGAGGACTTGGCCACCGGACAAGAACCCGCCTTCCCCCACCCGTCGCACCAAGCCAGTACACGTGCCGTCCCGCAGCCTGGCTCTGATACCCTTGGGCGCGAATCTCCTCTTTGGGTTCTGCTCAAGGCCTTCTCGGCGATTGAAGGCAACAGTGCCCAACCCATTGAATTCCCGGCATCGTTCCTTCCCGAATCCGTCTCCGGTGACCGTCTGTCCAACCGACTCTCCTTCCAGCTACACCACGTTCTTGCTGCGACGGTCGGGCAGAACCAGGCTATCAAAATCGACCAAAGCCAAACCGACAAACTCGTCTGGGACTTCGCTTCCGAACTCAGCGCAGGCGGAAAACTTGATCAAGCCCTGTTTGTTCTCTTGCATCTCTCCCAAGCCAACGACCGCAAGCACGCCGTCCAAGAAACTCTCGCCCAGTTCGCCGCTCAACTCCCCGAACCCTTCGCCGCCGACGGCTCCTCCCACCCAGCATGGCAATACCTCATCACTGAGCTCCAGCTTCCCGAGCCCTGGATCTGGGTTGCCAAGGCCCTGCATGCTCGCGACATCGGTGACGCTGCCCGTGAGGTTGACTGTCTTATTCGCGGCAAGCACTGGAACGATGCCCACGCCACATTCTGTCGCATCGTTGGTCCAAGCACCATCATCGAGGGCGACTACCGTACCCTCGAGGCTCTGGTCTCTGGCTTCGGCGACGGGCCCGAGCGTAAAATGCGCGGCTGGGCCTCTGGCGGCGGTGTTTACGAAGATTTCCTCCGCCTGGTCAACGCCACCAGCGGCCGTCGTGATCCAACTCGCCTGAACCGCTTGGTGGCCGCTCTCGTTGCAATGGGTGATCGTGTCCAGGGATCCAGCTTGGAAGGACTGGAGGAGCGTGTTGCATTTAAGGAGATGAGCCGAGCTGTCGCTGGCTGGATTACGCACGAGGATGTTCATGTTAGTTCTCTCCCTTTTCCTTAATATCTTGGTTTTGTTTACTAACTTTCACTTTTCTACAGTGTGTTGAATCCTCCGCTGTCCTGGGCCTACCCTTGACTGGCGACGCTCGCGTTCTGCAGACCGCAGAGATGAGCCGTCGGTACTACGGCGTCATCATGGCAGGTGGCCATTAAGTTTGAGACAAGGAAATCATGTTCTAGTTTTCATATGTTCATTGTGGAATTAGCGGGCACTAACTATCCAAAGCCCAAGCACCCTGATCTTTTTCTTTTGTTTTGCTCTTTTACTTTTCTGCGTGTTCTGTTCCCCCAAATGATCTCAAATGGTTCCCATGACATGTATTGTACTCTACCCTATTGCTGAAAACTACTATTTGAATCAATTCATTCTGGCCTTCTCTAGCGTAGACATCGTAGCAGAATAAAGATCATATAGTTCGTAGTCATGCCCTTGTGATCACTTACGGCTCCGCTCATCGGTTGTAACCCTAAGTAAGAGTAAAATGGAAACCATCACAAGTCCGGGTTGTGTTACGCCGTACTCGCATATCGGGATGTTTTTAAGGGTGACATGGTATATGTGCTCATATATTATTAATGGCATGTTCGATGTTGTCTCCAAGTTGCTACGTATGTAACATCTTTCAGTCTATTGCGAGAAAGGTATAGGGAACGGAATTGATTACCACCAAGGAATGCATTGATTATCAGCGATGATTGGATCTCCAATGGATACCCCGACCTTTTTTTCTCTCTCTTAAATCCCAACGTGCCTGCTCCCATCGCCATCTTTCGCGCGTTTCGCGGATGAACAAGATTGACCCTGTCGGCAATAACACGCTGGATGTACCACACCAGACCAATACGTTCAATGAATGCGTGACACACATCCAGATTGTACCCAAAATGCCCGAGGTTTGCAAACGAGATAAGGTGCTCCGGGATATTGACAAATGAATCAAAGCTTGAGCTGCTCGACACGGGGGACAGCGAGAGACGCTGCTCTTCTTCGTTACTAGACCGATTTATCCGTCATTTATGGATTCGACACGTCCAGTCGGATAAAGGAGGGCCGACGAACCTCGATTCTTGTAGGATCACCACATCGTCACGGGCCAGAATAGTTGTCCACCCGTTTCCGTCACAGGTCGACATGGTGGACATTTGCCGCGCAGAAATCGTGACTTGGTGAGGCGCTTTTGGAACGTGGTGAAGGTATGTATGTACGAGTGGATTGGCGATTATTCACTCTCCCTTTTGCTATCAAGATACTGATTCGTCTTGCGAATCGTTTGGCCAGTTCGTATAGGATAGTTCGTATCAAACCATTTTTTTAAGTTCTGTCCATATGGCCAGCCCTTCAGAAAGCTAAGATCCATATGCTTTGATGGTATGAATAAGCACATACACCCTCGGATAGTATCTTAGGGATAAGGAATATCACATACAGCTTTTCGGTCAACTTATCATAGATGAGCTTCCTTGAGGTGACTACACATGGCTGGATACCACACAAGCTGTCTTACCGATACGTTAGCTCTATGGCCCGAGATATGAAACAAAGGATGAACTTACTCATAAACTCGGTGGAATCCTTGATAGACCTGATGTGCCTTAAACTCAGCCTTCCCCCTTGAAGACTTGAGTGAAGCCTTTACGAGCCGGGGGCCCGTAATCATCTATCACGGGAGAGTAATCTATCCCCCCATTTCCCATTCACCTCTCGCATTCGTAGATGAAGCTGTGCTTCAAGCAACCTTGTAGGTCGTGCTCACCTCCACGACTTGTATGTTTGTGTGGGAGAAATGTGGATGTGCGAAGTGTCCCGGATTGTGCAGAGGGAAAGTACCATTTCGGAAAGAGCTATACTTAGAATTCCTTCTCTTTTCTCTATTCCTCTACTTCTGCTCATACTCATTTTTCCCTCTCACATTTGTTATTTACTTTGTCGGCCTATACCTTATTCAGATGGAGCTGCACCAGGTCGAAGGAAGTCGTGAGGGAGGGGCCTTGACATTACATGGTCCATTCGAGCACGTCCCGGATCACAGTGTAAGGAGAGTCGACAGCGGATATGGCCCTGGCTTGACTGGAGTACCCGTCGCAGCCCCGGTACATACCACCAGTGATGCCAACAATGTCCATGATCATCCCGAAGCTGCTGCTGAGGGTGGCTCAGACTCCCCAGCTACTGAAGCACGCGTCGAGACCACAGAAACAGCACCCAATGATTTCCAGCCATTGTTCTCAGAATTCAGCAAATACGAAAAATTATTCGTCATGGTCATGGTGACTCTTGCTTCGTTCTTCTCCCATCTTTCCGGTCAGATATACTACCCCGTCATGCCAACATTGGTAGGGAACTACCACCTCACCCCGGAGCTGATCAACCTCACAATCACAACATATATGATCTTCCAAGGCCTCACCCTGAGCTTCATGGGTACCTTCGCCGATACCTGGGGTAGACGTCCATCATATATCATTGCGTTTGCAGTCTATACCGCTGCCAATATCGGGCTGGCGTTGCAGAACAGTTTCGCGGCGTTGCTTGTCCTCCGCTGTCTCCAGAGTGCAGGGAGCAGTGGCACTGTGGCCTTTGGGTATGGCGTTATAGCGGACATTGCGACAACAGCAGAGCGTGGAAAGTATATAGGGCCCATGGTAGCAGGTGTTATGGTTGCGCCTGCGTTGGGCCCTGTTGTCGGTGGTCTTTTGGCCAAATTCCTCGGCTGGCGCAGCGTCTTCTGGTTCCTAGTCATTTTTAGTGGAGGGTATTTGGTGTTCTATGTGCTTGGTATGCCAGAGACGGCGCGCAAGATTGTCGGTAATGGCCACGCAGTACCAAATGAGTGGTGGCGCAGGTCGGTCATCCAATGGTGGTCGAAGAGGCAGGCACAGTCGGACGAGGAAGAGAACACTGACGCAAAAGGATCTCAGAAGTCCCCGCATACCAAGAGACTTAGGTTCCCGAATCCTTTGAAGTGCTTTGTCATTCTGCTGGAGTGGGATGCCCTGATCATCATCTCGTACGTCGGGATTGTGATGTTCTCGAATATCGCTCTGTTGACGAGCACCCCAAATCTCTTTGGTCCCCTATACGGATTCAACGAACTCCAGATTGGACTCTGTTTCTTGTAAGTTCCTGTTTCTCCCTCTTCATCTTTCCAACCCAGGATTTCATTGACTAACCGAAACTCCTAGGCCCCTCGGAGTAAGCTCTTGCCTCGGCGCAGTCCTATATGGGAAAGTCATTGACTACAACTACAAGCAAACAGCCCAGAAGCTCGGATTCCCGGTGGATCTGAAGAAAGGAGACGACTTGCGGAGTTTCCCAATCGAGCGCGCTCGCCTACAAACAGTATTCCCAGTAATGGCCATCGGCGTTGCAGCATTCATCCCATACGGCTGGGTTCTACAGCAAAGAGTACACTTAGTTGCCCCGCTAGTGTTACAGTTCATCATAGGCTTCTGCTTCGTTGCATCCCTGAACTGCCTCAACACTCTTCTTGTCGACCTGTTCCCAGACAAGCCCGCCACGGCTGCGTCGGCATGCAATCTTGTTCGCTGCTGCACTGGTGCCGTTGGGGCTGCTGTCATTGGCCAGATGCTGAGTGGCATGGGATGGGGATGGTGTTTTGTTTTTCTGGGGTTAGCCATGGGTGTTGGGATGGGGCTGCTCTGGGTTGAGAATGTGTATGGGATGGGCTGGAGAGAGAAGAGGTTGCTCAAGATCGAACGGAAGAAGGTAGAGAAGGAGGCGAGAGCTGCTGAGACTCAGGTCGAAGGAAAGGCCGATGGAAGAGATCAGAAGGATACCAATGTTCGAGAATTGGTTGCTGATGCTGATGTCACTGGAGGAACAGATACTCGCTCAAACCAGTGAAGCGAAAGTTGGATAATCATCGCTCTGCTATTCTGAGGTGGTGGACTTTGTTGTTATTGCATTCGTTCGTCTGTTGTGTATGGCATTAATCGTTTTACGGAAACAAGAACAGTCGCCCGCTTGTCTTACATATTTTCTCCCCCTTCTCCGTTTTATAGCAGAAGCATACACTAGCAGACTATTTTATGCATAGCCTGTGATGAACAAAATGAGAATATGCTACATGGGCAAGAATGAAGACATCAAATGCATCAAATTTGCTACCGACTGTACAATAAAGGGAAACCTAGGCGCGATAGATGAACACGAGGGGATCGAGCAGAGTAAAGAAAAGAGAAACGCCACCCTCCCCAGCCGGACCAGGCAAACAAGAAACAAGAAAAGACATTACCGGCCAGGGAGAGGGAGATATAAGAGAGGTCTAGATGTGATAATCATCCCCGACCCGTTCCTGCTTCTTTTTGAGGGGACAACAAAGGGAGAAAAGGGGTTGTAAATGGAAAAGGAAAGGCGGGAGGTGCGTTTACATGCCAGGGGAGATCAGCTTGCCCTCAGCACGGCTGTTGGGGTGCCAGCCACCGGCGTAGGGGGCAGCACCAAGCTCCTTCTCGTACTGGCGGATACGGGCCTCCAGCTCGGGACGGAAGTGGCGGATCAGACCCTGGATGGGCCAGGCGAAGGCCTCACCCAGAGCACAGATAGTGTGACCCTCGACCTGCTTGGTCAGCTCCTGGAGCATGTCGATTTCACGCTCGCGGGCATTGCCGGTCTCGAGACGCTGCATCATCTGCATGGTCCATTTGCTGCCCTCGCGGCAGGGGGTGCACTGGCCGCAAGACTCGTGCTTGTAGAAGGTAGACAGGCGGGAGATGGCGCGGACGATATCGGTGGACTTGTCCATGACGATGACGGCAGCTGTACCCAGACCGGTCTGGGAGTCCTTGAGGGCGTCGAAGTCCATGATCTGGTTGTCGGCCACGGCCTTAGGGATGACGGGAGTTGACGAGCCACCGGGGATAACGGCGAGCAGGTTGTCCCAACCACCGCGGACACCTCCACAGTGCTTCTCGATCAGCTCGCGTAGCGGGATGGACATCTCCTCCTCTACTGTGACGGGGTTGTTGACATGACCGGAGATACAGAAAAGTTTGGTACCGGCGTTACGCTCACGGCCGAAGGAAGAGAACCAGCTGGCACCACGGCGCATGATGGTCGGTGTCACGGCAACGGTCTCGACGTTGGTGACTGTGCTGGGGCAACCGAACAGACCGACGGCGGCGGGGAAGGGAGGCTTGAGGCGGGGCTTGCCAGCCTTGCCCTCAATGGACTCAATGAGCGAGGTCTCCTCACCACAAATGTAGGCGCCCATTCCGCGGTGAATGTACACGTCGAAGTCGTATCCAGAACCGCAGGCGTTCTTGCCGATCAGGCCAGCCTCGTAGGCCTCGTTGATAGCCCGCTGGAGAACAGTAGCCTCGTGGTAGAATTCACCACGGATGTAGATGTAGGCGGCGTTGGCGTTCATAGCACGACCCACCACCAAGCAACCCTCGATCAGCTTCTGAGGGTCCTTGCGCATGATCTCTCGGTCCTTGCAAGTACCGGGCTCACCCTCATCGGCATTGACAACCAGATAACGGGGGCGAGGGTCCTTGTCCCAATCCTTGAAGTTCATGAACGACTATCAAGTAGCGGGTCAGCCCGGGTATCCCAACACACTCGCGTTCGTCGGAATTGCGTATAGGCCACTTACGTATTTCAATCCTGAAGGGAAACCAGCACCACCACGTCCACGGAGGCCAGATGCCTTGATCTCTGAGATGAGCTGTTCATAGCATTAGCAATTGGTAATTCCCCAGCCCATCAATTGTGCGACAACCCACCCAATCATCACCCTTCAAAATCATATCCTTGGTCCGATACCAGTCACCATATTTCATTGATGACTTCAAATCCGCTCCATGGTGTGAGTAAAGGTTGGTGAAGATCCGATCTTGGTCCTTAAGTCCCCCATAGTGCTTCACGGGAGGCGCCTCCGACACAGATGCGAAGGAGCGGGCGGCCGCCCCCTGGGCGCGGAGGGAGCGGGTCGAGAGGTGGGAGAGGGAGGAGGTGGAGGGAGCCGCCGCTCTGGATATCATGATGACGGCGGGGGTGACAATGCGTGGTGAGGGTCAAAGGGTCGTGGAGAAGGAGGGAAGGGAGTCGTGGAGCTCACGGCAATTCCTGCGCTTGCTGAATGATCCGCCTTTGGACGCGATATGATTGGGTGGCAATACCACACGTGACTATATTGCTGAGTCAGTATTCCAGACTTCCGTATCTGGTCATGACGACCTCAAGTATGTTATATCACGTGACATATATACATTAAGACCTGGATTGCCATTTAAGTGGCCTCTTTCACTAGAAATGTGTTCAGATTTCCCTTTTCAGCGAACACTGATAACTTTATATTCTATCTCTTCTTTTCTCATGTTGTTTTCATTTTCAGGTCAGAGGGGTAAGATAACCGGGACAAAGCAAGCGGGCTGAACCGTAAACAACTCTTTCATTTTATGTCTTCTATCTCTTTATTTACTCTTGTGGTACATAAAGACATGCCTGCTTCAACATAGACAGTGATCCCTCCATCTTGAGGATCTCAAATGGCTCAAGAGGGATCATGACCATCTCCGAGCCTGCCACTGTCCATGCCCATTGAAGCCACTTCGAGTCCAACCACCCACTATCCTCGGTAAGCCAATTAACTCCATCGTTGGACGCTAATGAGCTCGGTTGTTCCGCAATAGTATAATCTTGGAATTGACGAAGTGTTTCGCTAACTTCATCCACAGCTGATCTGGAAGTGTCAGAAGGCAGATGATATTGCTCAAGCAAGAAAGTAAACCATCGGTTAAGACGTGACGACAATCTTGACTGTGCCTCCGGCGAATTATATGTTGCGACTAGCAAGCAAATAACGATTGCAAACAGAGTCTGTGGATCGGTAGAAATACTCGGGACATTCTGGCTCGACACTCCGAGGGCGTGCTGGAAGCATGTCTGAGCTGGTTCCTGCATTTCAGCCGGGAGAAGGCTGAAAAGCTCGCCTAATCTAAACAGCTCACCATTTTTAGTGATGAGTGACGGACGCTCCAGGATACGCACTCGGATCCGGGACATAACATCGTCTGAGAGGAGGCCAGCGGGGACACGTGCCATTAGCTCATGTATGAGGGCCTTGGTCTCCTCCCAACTTTCACCACGATTGTGTTCCCTGCCGCGTGTGATAGTCCAAGTAGCGATAACCAAGGCAGCCTGGTCTATTGTAATCTGACTATTGCGGTAGATCTGGGAGTGGGTCTGGTTCAGGGTGGTGGGCTGCAAAGGCAGATGTTCCGCACTGGCTTTCAGGTTTGTGGCATGAGCCATGAGCTCAAAGCTAATCTGACCGAGGGCAGCATAGATACTATGGCTGTTTCCATATCCCGGGGGAATTCGAATATAGTCCTCGGTGATCTTGAGCATTTTGCGCTCGCGTGCGTTTGATTCCATGACGGTCAATGCGTTGAACAATGCCGGTGAGAAGATCGAGTGTTCCATCATTGTTTCGGGAGCCAGTAGTGGGTAAAATGGATTGAAGATGTAATAATGGTCCTCGATGTTCTTGGCAACCTGAGGGAACAGTTCTAGCTGGCGAGCCTTGGCTTCGCCGAGCGGGCTGTCTGGCTGCACACCCAGATGAACAATGCGATAATCCGTTGGGTTGCCAGCAATGCAGAATCCATAGTTTATCAACACTATGTTATAGTCAGTCTCTAGAAGGCTGAGGCACTCAAAAGCAATAGCAAACGCGAGACGTACATTGTTCGTTATTACGAGGGCCATAATTGTTGGAAATTTCTTGGCCTGCTGAGTGATCTTCAAGCACAAGAAGGCCAATATCCTTATCGCCCGCTCGCCACTCAACCTTCGCCATTGGTCGATGGTTCGGAAGGTCAATGAGCGGAAGCAGCGCCGAGACTCCATCCTCTGGAAGATCAGCAGGCTCGACAGCCCCAGATAGAACCTTTGACGAAAATGCTCGGGAGGTAATGATAGTCGAAGCCCAGAGATACAGCTCCCTGCATACAAATCAGCATAATGTTTTCTTGGGCTGAATAAAAGGAACAGGCAATAGCAGTCTCCCATACTCACCATGTATACTGCTCACAGTTCGGGAATCCAATTGAATCCAACTGGAGATATCCCGAGTCATACTTCTGCTCCCAAATCTTAATCCTCTCAACGGCAGCCTCAGGAATCCCAGTGCCCTGGATCCAATCTACATCCTCCTCACCAAAGAACAAAGGGGTGGTCAATTGACCCGGCTGAGGCAGGGTACGAAGATATGGATACCAGAATCCCTCAATTCCCCGTAGATATTGGCCCATAAGGAAGAAGGCAAAAGTCTCCTCCGGCCCGACCTCGTCGATCCATGTCCGCGGGAGGTCAACGCCGTGCTTAGGAAATGAGCCCCGTGAACACTCATAGCCAACGGCATTGTACCAGGACATTGACAGGTTGATTGGAGTGCTAATCACCCGTGTCTCTTTCGGGATGGGTTCTGGCCAGTCTGCTTTCACTTGCAAGTGCACGCCGCGGGAGGCATCTTGTGCGATTCGCACGCTCTTATCCACCGTGCCACCATGCTGAAGGAACCAAGTAATTAGCACTGCGTGGGCTTCTAGCTTTGGATCGACTTGTCTGTTTTATTTGTGTTAGATATCTGATGTTTGATATTCTTCGTTTGCAGATACCCTAGGGATGACGTATCTCCAGACTGCACTTACTCCGAGGTAGCAGCCATTTTCGAAGCAAACCAGTGAATTTTATTTGATTGATCGTTTTTTTCTCTCTCAGGCACAGTTTACCGACAGTGTTATCCAAGAATGACTCGGCTTGGTGTATCGGTCAAAGTCGTGAGGAAAGAATTGATGCGGGATGGTGGGGGCCCGCTTTTTTCTCCCAGTCTGTAA